CCAGCCCCAGGTCCTGCGCGATGCGGCCCACGAAGGTGCCGTGTTTGGCCTCCTCGGGGACCGAGTAGTGGAGCTGGCCGCTCCCGGTCTCCCAGACTGCGAGGAACAGGAAGGAGAGCAACAGACGCTGGGATCCCGGATCGCTGTATCTGGAGACCAACATCTTAGCTTTCTCTTGTTTTACAAGTCGATGAATACTCCGACTGGAACGCACACAGGCTGTGATATTCCTAGTTCGATTGCTTCCATTTTTCATAAAAACATTAGAGACCTCAGAATATTGCCACTTCCTAGTCCTTGAGAAACAACGTTGTGCGCCTTTGATCTAAAAAGCTACATTTTGTGGACGACAGCGACATCCGGTGGCTTAATGTGTAAGTACAATTACATGAGTAACTTCTCTCCTTCATATTTTTTAGTTCGATTTTTATGTATTTTTACCTCTGTGGACTTTCAAAGCCTCATAATTATATCTCTTTTGTATATAGTAATAATGACTGTTGGTCCCAGGTACAATGTTTTCTTTAACGTGGAACCTCAGAGAAGTAATTCCTTCCCCAACCACATATTTATTGTTAAACTTTAAAATATCCTTGAAATTTGTACACTGCTGAGTGTACTCATATTTTATTGGATGGAAAGCATAGGTCTCATCAAGCTATGGTACTTAAACTTCCAGACAACATAAGAATATATGTGAATTACTGACATCAATATCAGGTGTTTCTCATTTAGATTTATTTTCCAGCTTACTAAACATGTGAGTTTCATTTCCCAACAGTGTGACTTCCTCACGTTTCAGTTTCTGCTTTTATCACATAACGGTAACATAGTGGTTGTGTGAAATATGGTATGTATATAAAGTGCCTAGGACAGTACCTTAAGGAGAGTGAGTGTTTCATAAAAGGGAATTATTCTCAGGCCTCAAATTTGGTCACATTTGCATTCATGGTGCTCAAAACCAAATTTGGCTCCTCAGGAAAAACTGCCTACAGGACATTATCATATGACAATAGCTCAATATTGCTTCTGCATAGCTGATGGGGTGGTTTTTGTTTCTGAGAATACAGGAACATGCCTTTATTTTTAAAACAGATACCTTCTTTTTGAAAGTTTACATAAGAAAAACGAATCATAATTATGTCTTAATAAAATAATTCACAAGTTAATAAATTCTGCTTTCAAAGAAAATCACTTTCATCCTTGTTAGTTAGGTTTTGCAAATACCCAGGTGATGTGGTCCTGGAATTTATCTAATAGTTTTTTCAGTGTAAATAAATATTTTAATCACTGCCTACAGTGAAAACACTTTCCCATTTCAAAGTTCTTACAGTCAAATATTCAGGAACCCAAATTCTACACTATTCTGGTTTGAAATCTTTAGTGTTCTGCTTTTCAAAAAATAGGAAAATTTAATAATAGAACCTTTGATCCTATATGAGATGGATTTAATAATAGCACTATAAAATTTTTAAATTTATCAATAATTCTTTATGTAGTGCTTATTAAAAGAGGAACAATAGAGCAACAACATTTATAAGTAGAAAAATTGACAGGGGTGCTTTCTTAATCCATGATTTTATGTGTCCTGCTAAATTTTGTTTTTATACTTCTCTGCTTCAAAATGAGTCCAGTGTCAAAATCCATTCAAATTCTGACTTAAGGGATTACTTTCTTATAAGGCATAAATTAAAGTATAGTGTGTTTTCTACCCATTCATAATTTGAGCTACTAATATCTAAATCCACACGTAAGCTTAAAATTAATTAATCACCTAGATACAAAGTGATGGTATAAACTAAATTCCATTCTTGTTAATGTGCAGTTCCTACAAAATAGTAGTGTTCTGACACAGATATTAAATAGCAGTTAGCTAAATTACATCTCTTTAAATAAAAGGAAGCTGCTTTCTCCAGTGCTGAATAGTGCTATGCAGATAAAACTTAAATCGTATAAAAATCATAAGTGGTGCTCATTAAAATGAAGATTTGCCTATTGCACCGATTTTGGAAATTCTTGAGTTTTGATCCAGAATGCTCAATGAAAACTTCAATTATTGCTAATGCAGTTAGTATTCTTAGGACTAAAAGTAGGCTGACCACTGACTTCAATTTCCTAGGATAGATTCAGTTTGTGTCTGTAGTCTGTATCGGTATTTACAAGGCCCTCTCAAAAATACCTGAGAGTGGGAGGCAAATGAATCTGCTCCAGGTACTAATTACCATGTGAGAAGAACTGGTGTAAGGGGAACTTCAATATTTCCATCATGATTCTGGCTTGAATCAAGAAATGTTACCTACAGAGCGAGAAGAGTCTGCCGTTGGGTGCACTAAACTCTCACATCTCTCTTTTTGAACTTCTCATCGTTTTTCAGTCCCAACATCCCCAGCGCCAGGGACTCTATGCTTCCTGATGGTCCCAAAAGATAAATCAATCATTAAAATGTTCACAGCTCTTCAGAAATTTGCAAATGATGACATTTCAAATCAGGGATAGGACAAAGTTAAGATAAAGGTCTACAGTATCAATTATATCAAATAGCAATGAATAATCAGGAATAAATTTTATAATTATGGAGGGCATAGGAAGAACTCAAAATGTAGTAGCTCTAAAAATATATAATATTTCTAAAAGATAGGAGTTCCGGGAAGGATAAGTGACATTCTGGAACCCTGCTATCCATATCACATAATAAGGACCTGAGTGCAAACTCAATGGCACAAAGAACCTGGAAAAACTGCAAAGACATCTTTCATATTAGAAACTCTGAGTCTGAATTTAAAAAAACTAATTTTGATTATACATAAGTTTCATAACAGGAGCTCAGAGACAACTCAAATTTCAAAAGAAAAAAATGGAAAAATAAATTTGTAGCATATCCTAACGTGTTTAGGGGAATATTCTGAAATATTTACTTGAAATGAATTTTATTCGCATTTTCTTAATTATTGTTGCTCTATACTCAAGAGCACTCTGATTTTGTTCCACTGAGATTTTAATACTGTCTAGTAAAATACCTGACACAATATAAAATTGAAAAGCTAAAAAAGAAAGAGACACATAATTCACATAACAAAAAAATATAAGTACAAGTGAAGTAACTTGTGACTTTCAAGGTTCACAATCTCATATCCAGATTCCTGGGCTGCACACTGCTGAAAGAAAGGGAAATCATCTAACTTAGTCTAGGTGTTTTTCTTAAGTCTGAGATTATGGATTTAAAGAGAATTCAAAGGATCAAATTTTTATATTCCAGGAATTTACCACTAAACAGAAATTTTCAATAAAAAGGATTTATTTTTTTTAGAAAAAGAAAGTATATGTTGGGAAATTTTTCTCTAATTTCAGAAAATAGATGGGTTACAAAAACATTTTAAATGTAGAAATTACTGTCAATCAACATTTTCTTATGCTGTAAAAACGCTAAGAATATATTTTATATAAATTGAAATGAGGGTTATACATGTAGCATTTTAACAGAATAAGATTCCTTAGTAAAAAATCATTCTGTCGAGTTTCCTGGAAATTACTTATTAATAACTACAGGTAGATACTGACTGGTGCTGAGCAATGACAACTCAAGAGAGTTTCCCTCAAGCATCCAGAGAAATATACAGAACAACGAAGTCAAGGATTTGTTGGGGTTTGTTATTGTTTGATTGATAGCTTGCTTTTCTTTCTTTCTGCCTTTTATTTTACTTTAACGGTTTTTTGAGATAGTTTCATGTTGCCAAAGTTTGACTCAAAACTAATCTTCATGCCTCAGCCTTCCAAGAGCTAGGATTATAGGCATATACCACCATTCCCAGCAAAGGTTTATGACAAAAAGTACAACTAGACCAAACTACAATGAAAATCCAGGAATAAAAGGTTGATGGTGTAGATGTTTACTAACAATTACCTTAATTTTGACACCCATGAGATTTTGACTGTTATAGCAACTCCGCATAAGCAATTCAATGTCACTCATAAATCTCTAAATAAAATTAATTGAACACTAGATAAATGTCACTTAACAAAAAGTCTTTCATGATTAACATTTGGATATTCAAAAAACAAAAGTCTGCTCCAAAGTAAAAGGATCATAAGTTTTTCTATCCAGATGTTTCTAAAAGATGAAAGCTGTCAATAAGTGTACCATAGGGAGGAATAAACTCATTCAATAAGTGAACAATTATATCAATGTATAAAATCTGAAAAAAAAAAAAGCCTACCTTGCCAGAGGAGTCCAAAACAGCAGGGACCTCGGCTTCCCCGCCTGTAGATTCAGGACACGGAGGGAGACTGGGGCTGAAGGCCATGAGGTCCGTCTTGGGCGGGCCCTCCCCAGAGCACACCCTCTGCCCCCTCTGCTGCGAGTATGACCAGCTCCCCACCGCGCTCGAGCAAACCAGCGTGGGCTTCCCAGGCCCGCACGCGCTCTCCGTGGGCGCCGCCGAGCAGCGCAGCACCGTGTACAGCAGCAGCGTGAGCACCAACAGGCTGGACACCGCGCAGATGGCGATGATCAGGTACACGTTCACATCCACCACCGCCGCCTCAGAGCCCGGCACGCTCACAAATGTCCGCGATGAGGCCTTAGGCGCCTGCCCGCTCTCCACCAGGGACACCAGCACAGTGGCGGTG